CATGGTGTCTTGTACTGAGTAAGTGCTATACAGTTGTTTCTTTTTCTTATTCTTTTTTTGAGATGGAGTCTTACTCTGTTACCAGGCTGGAATGCAGTGGTGCAATCCGGGCTCACTGCAACCTCTGCTTCCTGGGTTCAAGTGATTCTCCTGCCTTAGTCTCCCGAGTAGGTGGAACTACAGGCACGTGCCACCACACCTGGCTAGTTTTCTTTTATATTCAGTAGAGATGGGGTTTCACCACATTGGCCAGGCTGGTCTTGAACTCTTGACCCCGTGATCCACCCACCTTCACCTCCCAAAGTGCTGGGATTACAGATGTGAGCCACTGTGCCTGGCCTGGATTTTTATTTTTTAATAAAGTTGAAGTAGCCACATGTGGCTAGTGATTACCTCATTGGACAGCACAGCTTTGGACTGAAGTTACCACTCGGCATCCAAAGATAGCCAGCTTTTTAGAGTGTTTATGAACATACCAATTGAGACTCCTTAGGGGCTGCATTGGGCCTCACAAGCTATCTCTATAACCATAGGCAGTAGATATGACTTGTTTATATAGACTACTTGTACATTTAGTAATCATTTTAGGATGGTTATGCCAATAAATATTTTATATGATCATTTAATTGAAGTGTTAAGCCAGGCACAGTGATGTGCACCTGTAGTCCCAGTTACTTAGAAGGCTGAGGTAGGAGGATCACTTGGCCCCAAGAGTTCAAGGCCGTATGGTATGTGATGATCAGTGGTGCCTGTGAATAGCCACTGCACCTGGCAACATAGCCTGGGCAACATAGCGAGAGACCTTGTCTCTAAAAAATAAAAATTAAAAAAAAACTAGTGTATGTATTAAACATATCAAACTCAAAAGGTAGGTTTTTTGTAGGAGAAAAAGACTAAATTTGTATGCATTTAATTTAACAAAATTCACACTAGTAGACATCTTTATTTTAGAGGGTGGAAAACAGACCTAGCTTACTGTCTTGTCTGGAGTCATATGGTGAGTGTGCTGGAGATCAAAATGAGAGTCAAAGATTTTGGATCTCAGGTTTCATGTTTCAAAACTTGGTGTTAAAGTGACTCATAACAGTGATTGATGTCATGTGTTGGTACTTAGGTGACCTTGCAACTTGATGGATGACGACAAAACTTTTCAACCAAAAAGTAAGTATTTCTGCTGTCGTGGATACCAATAGACGTGTTTTTTATACTGTAAACCTTTCTTCAAAAGAAAAGATTGGAGACAGAAGTGGGCACATTTTCTTAAAAGCAAATATTTAGTTATTTATTTTTAAGACAGATTCTCACTCTGTCAGCCAGACTGGAATGAAGTGGCATGATCTCAGCTCACAGCAACCTCTGCCTCCTGGGTTCAAGTCTCTTGCAGGGAGGGAGTAAAGGAGAGAAAGAGGTAGAGATAGGTGTGTATGTGTGGGCACGTGTACATTCCTATAATATACTCCCTGTTTTTTCAAGCTAAAAAATTGAAAGCATGTACTTACAGTTGTTTAGCTGTTTTTCTAATAATTCCTTCCACATTTCTTCATTTTTAAAACTCATATATACATACAGTTGTCTCTTGAATCATCAAGTTTTGCCATTACCTAGTGATTTTCTATCAAGGAAGATGAGGATTTTAGTTTTCTTAAAAATTTCCCTCTTTTTAAGCATCTCTCAATGTAGTTATAGCTCAATTTTTAAGTGAACCATATTCGATGATTTTATGATAACTATAATAAATAGTGTTCACAGGTGAGCATGGTACTTGTTAATATATTATGATGGATAAGTTTTCTTTTTTCTCTTCCTTTTTTTATATATTGCTCAATTAAAATTTTTCATTTTATAAATTAGCAAAGTTTATTAAAACCTATAGCCACTCACACCCTTCCAGAGCATCTTTCTTTTTCTTTATTTTCTGAGACAGAGCCTCGCGCTGTCACCCAGGCTGGAGTGCAGTGGTGTGATCTCAGCTCAGTGCACCTCCACCTCCCGGGTTCTAGCAATTCTCATGCTTCAGTCTCCCACCTAGTTAGGATTAAAGACATGAGCCACCATGCCCCACAAATTTTTGTATTTTTGTTTTCAGTAGATACGGGATTTGGCCACGTGGGCGACGCTGGTCTCACACTCCTGACCTCAAGCCTGCCTCAGCCTCCCAAAGTGCTGGGATTAAGATTGTGAGCTACTGTGCCCGGCCATATCCATCATCCCCTTTTTTTCTTGAGACGATGTCTCCGGCTATCGCCCAGGCTAGAGTGCAGTTGCACGATCTTGGCTCACTGCACCTCCTCCTCCCGGGTTTCAGCAATTTTTGTGCCTCCACCTCCTGTGTAGCTGGGAATGCAGGGGTATCCCACCACCATGCCCAGCCCCATGGCCTCTTAATTCACTTTTCCTACACTGTGAAACTTGTCAGGTTATCT